TGATTCTGCTGATGTGACACAAACGAGGTTGAAACAAAATGAGGCTATCATTAAAGAAGGAAGGCTCCATGAAATTCAATGGCCTCATGAGGGCTATTCGTCTCATTGTGGCAAAATTCACTATCCTTCCTTATTCATCTAAGGCGACCTGGATTGATGAAAGCTATTCTTTAGGGGAGCTTAGTTTTTATAAACGAATTAATGAGTGTCCAAAACTACTTATACCCAAAATAAGTGATGCCGTCGATTGTAACTTAGAACACATCTTTGCTAAATACGAAGTGTAATAGGGTTTCAATTAATCTTCTAAGATAATCTTGTTAGGGAGACTCTTCTTCAGTATGAAAGTGAATGAAGAAGAAATTTGAAGGTTGATCTCATCAAAAGAAAGCGGCTAATTCCCTTTGTATTGTGACTTTTTGGCTTTAATACGACATTCAGATTGACTCAGTCCACGAGACTTCTTTCCTCGTTTATGGATGAAAATGTGTCGAGCTATCGTTCGTTTCAAGAAGACTGTTCGGGTCTATCTTACCTTCTATATATACTCATAACAAAAAAACTAAAATTTAGAGGCATGTAAAGATATAGAATGGTTTGTATGATTATTTTTCGGACTTGTCATTTTACTTTTATTCATGTCTGCGTGTGTTAATGTGTACATCCGAAACTGGTCCTAAATCAGAGTGATCAAAAACCTATTAGGCTCGAGATTTCAAGGCTTAATGACCTGAGAAATAGTCCTGGCCGAGACTGTGTAAGTTCATAAGTAAGTATAGTTGAGATAATGAGATGTAGGCTTGCAAGTGTGTAAGTCAGGTTACGAAACCGCCTATCCTACCACCGTTCCTCACATTCAACCTATTCCATAATCTTTAATTTAAATAGCTTCTCTTATCTTCCTTTTAGCCCCAGACATACCATAATCAGTAAACCTACTTGTTTGAGATCATTCTATCTCATGTCCAGTCTCTACCATGCGTTCAGCCACTTCTGACCGTTGGAACCAGTTGCCTTTAATCTTTGTCGGATAGGGCAGCCTGTATCAGCCACATAAAGTGGACCAAGGAGCACAACATCTTGTAGCTGTTGGATCTCGATAATGGGTCATATTTCTCTCTAACAGATGAAATAACAGAATAAAGTGCGAGGGATTCTTTGAACACTATTTTTATCCCCCCCTTCTTACTAGTTTGTCTATCCTTTTTGAGAGAAGGCATGCTGGCACAATAGTCTCCTGCTAAGACCGACATTCGAATCTCTTCTTCATACACTTTCATATGAAATAAAGGTTTCCCCAAAACCTTTGATAATTTTACCGTTCCACCATAAATGTGATTTGGATGAGGCCTCACCTGTCTTGAATTTCTCATTTTTTCTGTGACTCACTGTGACTCCGTGCCTGTATGTGGTCTGGCAACATTACCACAATACTCAAGACCTATTATCGAATCCCAATGAAAGGGTTGATAAGACCTAGGCGAGGTCCAGCCTGGATGAAATAGCTCTTTGTGAGGTGAAGCCTAGCAAAACTCAATGGCATTGGGAGGCCTACTCGTCCCTTTTTAGGAAGATTTAGTTATCACTCCTTAAATCAGCTTAAGCTCGACTCATTATTGAAATATATTAATTAAATGTTATTTGGCCCTTCTCGACTGTCTTCTGTTTCAGGTCTCTCTTGAAATCCAGCCTCAACAGTGCGGTAGCTGAGTCGCTGGCAAATGTGACTGCATATGTGGAAAAGGCTTGTCTTTGCATCTCCAACTTGCGCCAGCAACGGGACAGTCTCTCAGCTCAGTTGACTAGCGAGAGGGCTGAGGGGGCCCAACACCTCAAGGCCTGTAGACGCCAATTCCAAATAGATCATATGCGCCAGTTGGCGGAGTTGCGACGTAGTCTGGTGAGAGAGCACTTTTCCGAATTGCAGCGGGTGGTGGCGAGCATCATGGGTGTACATGTGCCCACATGGCCCTCAGGCAAGTTTGGGTGTGTTTTTGCACACTTTGCCAGACTTGATACAAGGTGGCCCTGCTTTAAAAGAGAAGTGGACTATTTTCAAAAGTATTCATTACCATGTTGTTCAGCGGCTAACATTTT